GTATATCTAAAAGAATTTTCGAACTGCGCGCTACCGACCTTACTAAAAAGAGAATCAAACCAAAAGATGAAAGTAAAAACGAAATGTGTCGGTAAATAATATTTATATATCTCAACGTTCCCCTTGTAAGCAAACTTTATACAATAAAAAGTTGAAATTAATTTTACTAAACCACTGGCTGGTGCCAAACGATTTTTCCACTGAGGCAGCCTGACACCAGTAAACAATGCCTTGGTGAAAATTTTGTACTGACCACGATGCCAGAATGACTAGTGTTTATCGCTAATTCGTGCAACCGCACGGACTCGTTGTAGGGAGGAACACAGTTAGATAATTCCGAACAATCGCTGGAAAATGCTAACAATCGTACTCCATAGCCGAATGGTGAACATATTAGGCGACCATCGGCAGAGAAACACAATTCTTTTATATAACCGGAACCAACGTTAGGTTCCTCTATGTAATGCGTTAACCTAGGTGTATTTTGATGAATCATACGATTCCTCGGAATAGCATACATCGTTTGTTGGCCTTGCCTATTTCGATTCTGAACTCTGATTCTATCGCCGATAATAACAACGGTATTGTTACTCGATCTAGAAAGCCAATCTCTCTCCCTTCTAAGCCTAGCCTCCCTTATCGCTACGTGCGCTTCCCACACGTCGGTTGTACTTACGTGTAATTCTATATTGCCAGTAGGAAAGTTTTCAATCATGTTACGCGGTCTTAGGTAGTTAAGATGAGAGTTTGGCCTTGGTGACCTGTAATCCTGCCCTGACTCCCTTTCTTGATCGCGATCAGAACCTTCCTCTAATATGCTCTCGTCAGCTGCGTAAATGTCAGCAGCGTATATGTATCTGTCTCCCTGTCTGTCATCTCTGTCCGCACTCACGCGAGAATCAGACGAGCTCGAACTAGAACTAACCTCTATCGCGCCGAAATTCGCTCTAGTCGCGTTTCTATCTAAACGTGAATTTCTCGATTGCGATCGTGATGCTCTACGAGATGCCGATTGCCAGTTATTTCTCGAGGATCTAACTGATGGCGCGTTATCGGAGAATCCAGCCGCGTTTGATCTCGAATCGGACGTGGTAGTGTGAACTACTCTGACACGATTGTTTGGACTTTCTACTAAAAAGGATGATGTTATACCCGAACGGGAGGGCTGAGGCTGTTGAAAATCTTCCAACTCTTCTACAGGAATTTCATTGAACTGCGGCGTTGTTTCCTCTCCTTCTTTCGTTTGATCTGACGTACTGGATATATCGCGTTCTTGTATATCGTGAATACAAGTCCACTAAAACGCACAGTCATCGAAAAGTAACAAGAGTGCACGTAACCAAAATGAATAAACTTGTTAATACCAACCTCAGATTTTTCCCCGTTACTGACATTTCTGGACAAAGCGCACCATCCCTGAGGATGCACTTGTAAACTCGATATTATCTCGGCATCATCGCCAACAGGGAAATCAGTCAAAAACTCTACTCGATTATGTGTACGAGAATGGGAAAAGAGATGTGTGAATGTTGCCACGTTTGGTATTGTGGTTTGAGATGACTGCATTAATCGATACATATTTGGCTAAAATAAAACTGTTATTATTACATAAACTGTATTAAATAAGATGCACAGTATGCACATGAAAAATAAAACGCACTCTAAATCCTGCCAAGTCTTGAGTTAAGGTGCTTAACTTAAGGTTATGTATAATAATGAGGTATCCAGAAGTGGTACTTATTAACATTTTACTGGCATCTGGACTAAGTCTAGTTCGCATCAGTCCGTTTGTATGGAACACACGTGTATAAAGAATACTATTCTCCGTGAAACTATTAATATCCCAAGTGTATATACTACCATCAAAACCACTCGTAAGTAATAAACTATCTTTGGGACTATACTCTATATTCTTCACCCAGTTCGAATGACCTTGAAGGGTTCTTATTCTATTCTTTAAATTCCTAGCATCCCAAAGAGCTACTGTGCTATCATCAGAACACGTTGCAAACATACGTTGGTCCAAAAACCTATTGTAACAACAATTGAACAATTACTAGCTGCACAGTGTTACAACAATATTTAAGAAAAAAAAATTTGTACATACCTGACACAATTAACACAATCATTATGAGCATTATCAATCGCATGGATTAGACTTCTCCTCAAAGGGTCAAACATTAAAATACTTTTCTTCTCGCATGCTGCCAGCAAAAGAGAGCTGTCATATAAGAAAAAAATATAGTATCATTGTTACATGTAATATCTTTAGTACAATTGAAAAATTTTCAACATATGTGTACTTACCCATCAGGGGAATATTCAAGATTGAAAACTCCACCGTGAGCAGCAGCTGCAGACAATGCATGATCCCAAGAAGTTACTGGTTGTATAGAGGAATAAAGGGTTTTGTGAAAATGATCAACATGTCCCAAAGGGAATTTTATACCCAATTCACGTTGCCTTAACCAGAGGTTATTTGCTTGTCTGGTTCTTACTTTAGGCATTTCAGCCAGGTGTAAATTTTATCAGCATTCAACTAAATATATTTAGGCAACTGAGGAAAGATCTGGTACTCCGTAAACACAATGTTTAGGGACGTACTATTCAAACCTTCAACTTTCACAAATCCTATTTAAACCTTTCTTTTATTATACAAAACAAATGATCGCTATTAATAGCGTCAGAAAAACGGTCGATGGAAATTTTTAACTTCTTCTCTGATGAAAGATACAACATTGACGTCGTTTTCACGAAATTTTTGCAAGATTTAAAAGTAGTCGTACAATACCGAGTGGAGGTAGAGGTTAAGTGCGAGATGCCACAGCGGGCAATGTTACACGTGACTTTTGACAGACGCCTCCGTGTATTTTTCAATTGACGATCTTCGACGAGGCCGAGAATGAAATAAATGACTGGACAAAGTGTCACGACCAAATGCAATGTCAGACTTCGATAGAATTTCCAGAAATTTTAAACACCTGACACAACACGAATCAACGCCATCTTTGCTTTGACATGCAACGTCGTGCGAGGATCGACGAAAACTCGAGCGCGAGTCTCGAAACAAGATTTTCGTCGTCGCAAATTCTAACAGGTAAACTAAACAGACAAACACTTTGTTCCAGTCGAAAATCTATATTTTTCAACCTTTCCTACGTTACAAAGACCATACCAAGGTATAGTAGGCTGTTCAATTATAAAAAACTAAAGTTGACATCTATTATTAGAAAACTGGTCGTACAAGTGTAAATATGGCATTGGGCACAGTAATTAATGGATAAATAGCTAGATAATTTATACTGAAACGTATCGTTTACATTTGGCTATTCTTCTAGTGTGTTTTAACAACAATGCGTACAAATTTATATAATCGGAACCATATGTACATTAACATGAAAATAATATAACAGTCGAAAAATATATAATCGTTTTACATATTGTATCATTCTTCGTCGTACGACATTGCTTCCTTGTCGAAAACGAGGCCACTTCCGCGTGAGTGTCTCTCGATCCATTCGTCGAATATTTGAGACAGCTCCTCGGACATGTAGTTTCTCCAGTCACCGACTTTGCCTTTTCTTATAAATTTGTCATTCTCAGGTACGTTATTTTGTGGCACGATCAACTCCATATTTATGGCGGGATTGGCTGCCATCTTTGAAAACTTCAAGTGCTCGCTAAGGTCAGCAATTTGTTTCTCCGTCGGAGTTTTCCCCAGAAATTTTGCTGTCCTCCTAATCGTTTCATTTTGATCCTGGAGAAATCATCAATCGATATATATATATTGCTTCTAAGATAAGAATACATAGAATGCGCGCAATACGCAAAAATACATGAAATATTCACGAATGCAGCACTTATTCAACTTAATTGTTTAACAAATTTCTGTCTCAAGATTCGCAGTCAACATTTTAAATGTTCTGTTATGTTACCTTTTTCATTTCTTCGTACGTTAAAAATAATACATTCTCTTGATCCCTTATTGCCCAGAATTTCAAAACGTGATTCCAAAACGGTGCCATTGGTACTTGAAATAAATTGAAAATAAATTTTAACAATTATAATAATAATAATAATAGATTTTTACTATATGTCGGTACGTACTACTGTCTTTTAAAAACAATTCAGCAAATTCTTCAAAACTTCCTATGATATTGTGAAATTTTTTACAGTAATGATAAAAACTGACACAAGTATCCTTTGGATTTCTGGTAACATAGATTATCTGAAACATTCAGTTTCGCTTCTTTGTAAAACACATTCCGGTTTTTTGTCATATTACAATATGACGCACTGTAAGAAACTTAAATACTTTTGGCTTCTTTTGATGGATTTGCTGTGGTAACAAATCGAGAGGGAGGTGAGACTTTATATATCTGGGTCGTTTCATCTTCGTAACATTTTCAACAGAATCGCCCATCTTCGCAAACCATTCCGCACAATCTCCTGTGACCATCAATGATGAAGCTCTAAGCAAATAAAATTCGCGAAAGTTTTTTGATAAAAATTTAATTGATCCACTTTGGATACTTACTCGAGCAACGGATTACGTAAGACGAATAAAGTTTCCGCGTTCTTGTAGTCGAAGTTATTTCCGATACACCATACCATTTCCTGTGCCCAGTGACTACCTGTAAACCATTCAAAAAGAAATCCAGAAATCCAAATTATTGACATAGATGTCAAGTGTAAAGTGGGTCTTGATCGAATTTTACCAGTTCGTGGATATGAAACCATCCATACATCATCGTCGTAGATCTCCATATCCCTGATCTTTGCGCCGTGAAAAACAAATTGGGGTGGTAATAAACAATTGCCTGGTTTCACTCTTAGGAAACTAGGTTTCACGCCATACATCTTATCCAATTTTTGTCCCACATCTCCTTCGACCGTGGTGAAATTCAAAGGATTTTTATCCACTGCGAAAATTTACTTGATATAATAATATTCCACGTGTTGTGTTGTTGATATAACGACAAAATCATGCATTCTTTTGCTCAGATTTATACGAACGAACAACTTACTTGGTATGCAATTTCGTTAGAAGACACTGCAAGATCAGAGATGTTACTTCTCTTACGGTTTGAAATGAAATGAGAACATTTATTATTGGTATCTTCTCGGACCACTTGCAGACCAGTTTTCCCTTTCTTCCAGCTAAAACAACTTTCAATTCCCAGGCAGTTCCGCTTGATATATACATACATGTATATAAGATCGTAAGAATTGCTGGATATTTATTATATGTTATCGATGGAAAATAAATTGTTTTATTGTTGTACATTAATTTTGTTCTCAAAGAAACTGCCTCATGTCATTTTTTATTTTTGATAATATTATATTTCAAGTAGAAATTCACATAAATTTTATTCCACTCAAAATGATTTTATTATTATAAAAATATAAAGTAGTTTTGTAATTGTATATTTCTAGAATATTTATATATTTATAATTATGTATTTCCACTGAGAATCATTTAATCGACGCAAAAATAGTTTCGATGTTATGTTAACTTTCTCATAACAGATTTCTCTTTAGAGAAAGTTACCATATTTAAATTAACTGCAAGTTCCAATTTCTAATATATGCCATGTTAAATCTTGGATAGTAGTTAGATCTCGATGAATACGATTCTCAATATTTCTTAATAATTCATTCATAAACTTAAAATTCATGAACGATGCCAACATTTAATTTCGTTCGTGTATACCAAAAATATACCACGTGATTTATTGATTGACGCAAAAATTTTAATATTGTTGAATATTGATTATATTAAAATTGAATCCATTTTTTTCTTAAATGTGATCTTGGATATTTCTATTTGAATTTTACATCATTTGCTTTAAAGGCATACGTCTTTCATTCATGTTATTGTTTTTCATTTTCAAGAATAGTTACGAATTCAAGAATAAGAATGCAAAGCTATTATATCATAAACTGTAGAGGACGCGTTCCTCTGGCCTTGATTCTACTATCAGGACTAATAAACGTATAAAAGTAATGTGAGGGACGCATCCCTGGGTAGTACTGTTAGGCTCATAAAGTAATTGTGAATATTACTTTATTGTAGTATATGCAGGTTTTTTGAAACTTTTCCTCCAAACAACATACACATTCTAATAACTAACAAAACAGGTAATATAGATCTAAATTACCATTCTGTTAGCAGGAAATAAGTCCCAGGAACTACTCGAAACAAGATACAGAGAATAATAATAAAAAAAAAGAACAATCTGGTCTTAATTCATCCTAATTCGCTTGTCTACCATTCGCACCATCTACGATAATTATCTTCGCATGAATATCTCTAAATAAACAATTGTTTTTTTTCTTAACATAAAAAAATTATAAAATATTTTCTCTTTTTATTCAAATAAAATTATTTACAAGGGGAAAGCTTGATAAGTTTCCAATAGAAACGAAATTTATTAAAATTATGAATTCATCGTACAATTAAAATATTATTTATTACAATATGTTTGCACATTCGGATACATTAATCTCTCTCTCTCCCTCTCTGATCTTAATTCATTTTCAACTTAGGAACCAAACATTTCATCTGTATATGATAAAATTCTTTGTTTTAAATCTATTTGCTAAAATCAGTCAATTTATGCTTGTGTAATAAAAAGGTACGATTAATCTTAATAGCTTATATCTATATTTATAACAAACGAAAAAACACAGCCGTTGTTCCTGCAAGTAACGATAATTGTTGGGTAACAGCGATGCTTTTCGAGTAAGCATCCATTATGTGTATCTTCCAGCCCATATTTGCATGGGTAAATGAGTTGTAATAAACAATATCTGGCCAGGTAGAGTTTGGTGTAACTTCTAACACACCGCCTTCACCTGAAAAAAGAAACGACAGCAATTGAACATTCATTTATGAGAGAAGAAAAAAAACTAGAAATTTTATATATTTTCTTACCTGGCTCGCACACGCTCATTAATGTTCTGTTGAATTGTTTAAACGTCATGAAATCATCATCTAGTCTTCTATCTCGTGTACCATGTTTGCTTAAACAAAGTGGACCAACTATGGAAGGGAAAAAATTGTTCTTAATTACATTTTTTTTTTCTCTAAATAATTTCAATTATATCCAAGCTTTTGGTTTGAAAAAACATCCCCGAAAGATATTTCACGCGAATTAATTTCCTCATTCCATCTAACAGAGCTTTTTTAAAAATGTTCATTTAATTTTAACTTTATATACCAGTATTGTATATTATACCTTTTTGTTAGGATTAATTTATTACGTTAAAACAAGACCATATATACCTGCTGTTGGTCTTGGTTGCCCTCTTCTGGTGAATTCAACCCCGGCTAAAACTCTAATTGTACTTTGTGCTGCATCGCTGAGTTTATCGTATCCACCGTGTGGTTCGTTAGTTATAATTAATGGATGGTACAGATTGGGGCTATGAGGATTATTTCCGCCGTGGATACGGAAATTGTAAGTCAATCCTCGACGCAAGTATAGTTCAGGCGCCAATTGACCCTCGATGTACCATGCTAAGCCTGTAGACGTTTGCCCTACGATATATACAAATTAATATATTGCTTGGTCTATGCAAATCCATGTTGAAATTTCTGTTAAACTTCTATCCGAATGTCTCAAACTTCAAATCAAACCTGTAATTCCTTGATAGCCCTTTTTGCCTCCAGATGGGCCGATGGTGGCTCTGAACGTCCGAATACTTCTATCGAATATTTCTACCTTCTCCCAAGGTTCTCTGGCGAAATAAAATTCCCAATTAATTATCATTTGCACAGTTACAAATGATCTCAATGTATCACTTACATTAGCTTCTCATTATTTTCAGTAAAATCCATACACGTGTTCTCTGGTTCTTCAGGAGCTAATTCCACCTTCAAATCGCTCTTGGGATATATATCATGGAAAGTTGGCTCTTTGTTTTCATCCAATCTTCCCAAGGCCCATATCACGTAGACTGGTCTGTCTGTAGGATATTCTTTGTCTCCTGGATCGGCTACGACATGGAGTATTCTACATAATTCCACTTTATTTCTTTCTCTTCTTTTTTATTTGACACAGTGACTTACATGAGTTAAGAGTTCGTCTGTAAGTAACAATACTAATCCCATCCTCTCTGACCGCAGTATATAATTGATTATTATCCAAGGCACCGAATAGTTCATCTCTGCAGACTCCCTTATATTGGCCAAGGACTTTTCCACACTGTTTATAAAATAAAAAAAATATTAGACAGATACTTCATGATAATAGATAATATTCTTTATATTTACGTACTGGAGCTTTCGCAGTAATGTTATAATCTACAGCGTAGCCTTTAGTACCGTCCACATAAGCAATCACTGCATCCGCGCCTTCCATCTGGCTAGAAGTTTCAGAACCAGACAGACCAAACGCCATAAATTCATCTTCACCTGAAGATAATTAACTACTATAAGTACAAGACAAGTTCAGATAAATCTTATCTGAAATAAAGATAAGAATTATATAAATAATATGTGTAGACGAATTATTGTTAAATAGCATTGTATTTAAACTAGCACATAGTTATCTCGAAAAAAAAAACATCTTATCGAATGACTCTCATTTTTCAAATATTTTTATTTAGATAACATCCAAATTCTGGACTGATACAGATGTAAGAAAGATCTAAGAAAGTTCTATACTTGCCAATTTGCCCTGTTAATTGGACAGTGATCTGTGGACCAAAAATCTCCCAGCCGACTTGAAATCGTTTGTGAAGTTGAATACAATTCGGCAGAGTCTGCATACGCTTGATCACCTGTACTTTGATAGAACGATTAGTATTCGTTCGAAGTTCTACTTGAATAAATGACAAGAAATTGAAAAAAAATTGATTACTTTTACTAACGAAGGAGGCACGTTTAATCCATCTGGAATTATGACAGAGCCGTAACTAGTCTTGGTCTTCACATCAAATATGCTTAACCAATCAATGTTGAAAACTGTCATGTCTCCAGGTAGTTGAATGATTACATCTTCTTCTTTGTAGGTGCGAATCGATTCCAGACTGATGAATTAGAAGTAAAAAAAAAAAAAAAAAA